ATTTGAAGTTTCAGAGATGTGGTTCTACTGAAGCATGTTGTTAATACTATGGATCTGAAATGGAAGCAGGAAGGTTACTTATACTTAACATCAGGAAGATTCAATTGAAATTCCTAGGGCACATAAATTTGATTTTCACAAGGGAGATTGAAGGCAAGCTACGGACATTGATGGCGGATCATCGTTTAGGAAAGATGACAGAAAGAAAAATATATATTAATAGCTACAAATAACAGGAAGTTGTGGAGAGTCGTGACCTTTAACGTCACATACAAGAAGAAGAAATTAATCTAGGAGACTAATGATTTCGTTCCATAATAGTAACTCCAGTGTGTGTGTGTGCGTGTGTGTGTGTGCATGTGTGTGTGTTTACGAAATATTCGCCCAGGAATCTGCTTGAAGCTATACCACACCGTAATTAAATTAGCTCTCTTCTCTCTCTCTCTCTCTCTCTCTCTCTCTATATAATATATATATATATATATATATATATATATATATATATATATATATATTGTTTGTCTGTTGTTGTCTGACGCTACTATGCCCCAGTCGGCAATATTTGTTTGGGAATTGAACAGCCGTGTCCCAAGTAGTTTATCGAATCGACCGATCATTCCCAGAGATGGGCGCCTTTTTCATTTTCATTTTTAACTGAATATATATATATATATATATATATATATATATATATATATATATATATATATATATATATGTGTGTGTGTGTGTGTGTGTGTGTGTGTGTGGATTCATGGGAATGTTTTTTTTTGGTTATTTTCCAAACACGGTCAGAACATTGTGGCCGTGTTCATAGTGTTGTTTTTTCATTTTTCTAATTAATGTTTTCATTAAAGAAAATCAGTTATACGACCACATGAAAAATGTAATAAAAAGCTTAATCTTCGTACGCTATCAGTCGTCGTCAATGAAACTTGTAAAAAATATGGATTGCTGCATATATATATATATATATATATATATATATCTGTCGGGTGTAAGTGGTCCAACTCAGGTTTTTTACAGGTTTTCATATATGACGTTTAGCCATCTTGACACTCGCTGAAAAACCCTTTGAGTTTTTTCAGCTAGAAAGTGAACAGGTTAAAATCGTTTTGTTTCAATCCCACTCTCTTTCCAACTGCGCAATGGTGAGAGGAAAACGATCATTCAAGCCTTCAGTAATGATGCTAATATTCATACTCTGGCTTCCATCTTCAATGTCCATTCAAGTACCATCAAGAGAACGGTGAATAATTTAAAAAAAAAGAGAAAACAGTAGAGAGGAAAACTGGATCAGGAAAACAGGAAGGGGGATCATCATATCAACTTGGAGCTAAAGAGATCAATTAGAAAAGATCCAACTCAGTTCATAAGACGTTTGGCACGTGAGAGAAGAGTTTCTGTTATGACAGTCCAAAGGGCAGTGAAAAAAATACTTGAAAAGGAAATCCTACGTGAATCTTTTGAGGGCAGAAATTTAGAAAGTTAGAGAGGTCGAAGATCATCTTGATGTACGTCCGAAAATCCTGAATAGTATATATATATATATATATATATATATATATATATATATAAACTTTTATTTCATTCCTTCATGAATTTCCGATTTCTATCTATGATTATTTAATGAAGAACATGTCATTTTCGTTTATGATCGATTTCATCACGATTCTTTTGTTAAGCTTCCAGAGAAATTATCCATTCCTTAATGCCCAAAGTTGAGTCCAATGGTGTTACAAAAATACAACGGAGAATTCCAATGAGATATTTTTAATCATATCATAATCTGATAAATGGATTTTGCTTTCACACGATTTGGACAATTTTGTTGTTATATCCGGTATATATTTGTGTGTGTAAATAGTGTAAATCATGATAACTCTCCATTCCCGTAATTTTGACAGAAAATCAATTCATTAATTATTTAGAAATCTCTTTCTCCATTTCTGTCTCATTCTCTCTCTGTTTCTGTCTCTCTTTCTCTCTCTTGTTCTTTCCCAATATATATATATATATATATATATATATATATATATATATATATATATATATATATATATAATTATTTTTTAAAAAATATGATTCCTTCTACATAAAAGTTCTCATATTTCAAAAACCAGTGCCGAAACCATCAATATAATTATTAAAATTAAATTGAATTAAAGGAATCATTCCTAAATTTTCGCTTGAGGATGAAACAGGGCTTGTCCCTTTAATTCAATTCGTCCACCGCAAGGAAAGTTGGCTCTCTGTGCCAGGAAGTTTTTCTCCCCGGAATCAATCATTCAAAGCTACAAATCAACCATTCGCCCTTGCATGGAGTATTGTTGCCATATATGGTCTGGAGCCCCTTATGCTTGCCTCGGGGTTCTTAATAAGATCCAGAGACGGATATCCAATGCAATTGGCCCTGATCTGACATCTCGTCTGCAGTCGCTCTCTCACAGACGTGCCGTCGCCTCTCTCTGTCTTTACAAATACTTTCATGGTAACTGCTCCGATGAGCTGCTTTCGCTGGTTCCCAGACTTTGCGAATTCAAGCGTCCTACGAGGCAGGCATCCCGCTCTCACCCTTTCACTGTTGAAACTGTTAAATGTATCCGCCTCTTCTATTCCAATAGCTTCATATCTCGCACCTCTCGCTTGTGGAACTCCTTTCCTTTTTCCTGTTTCCCTGATAGATATAATCTCCAACTATTCAAATGTAATGTCAATAGACCAGTTGCCTTGATCTATCCCCTATCCTTCTCTTCATCCTTTCCTCTATCACTCATATCTTCTCTCGCTCCAAATCCTGTGTAACCCCTTGCGTGCTAGTGGCTTCCAGCCTTGCTTGGGGTGAAATGCTTTTATATATATATATATATATATATATATATATATATATATATATATATATTGGGCAGAAACCTTTCTTTTAAAAATGTTTCACTGAATATGGTTGACAAGGAAAATTTAATTTTTTATTTAGTTTTTCCAGCGTTCTTACGTTTGGTGGGATGTCCAAGTTTCTAAATCTGCCTTCACCCCCGCTTGCGTTTGTTGTTATACTAAGCTCCTCCCCTTCACTCCTCTTTTTTACGGTGTATCCATCGCAAGTCCTTGATTGTTCTTAATAAATGAATTCCATTGATAAAAGCTTTTCGCATGGTCGTTGATAGGGTTTAAATTGTTTCAATGTTTTAGACATTTAGTAAATTTCCTATGGCCATAATGACTTTCAAATAGTATGGCATTGTTCACAAATCTAATAATCAAACAAAAACAGGGTTGAAGCTTCAGAGGCTTGATTTAACTGCAAATGCAAACGCATAAATGCCCCCTTCTTCGCACGTTTACTACGAAGCTGGGATTAATAAGAGGTTATTCGGAAATTTTCCCTTTTAACGCTTAAATAATCCTTCTCAAACAATCTTTGCATCAAAGATTGTTCGAATGCCAATTTAGGATGGAACCCTATGGAGAAACTATTGGTGAAATGGCAAAAGCCGATTTTGGACGTAGTTTGTCGCAGATTTTGTCCACATAACTGAAATAATCGAAACCAAACATTCACGCAAGACAATTTGTGTGTCATATGTAATTTACATGGAAATTTTGGAAAACATCGGATAAAAAAACAGGTAGTTATATATGAAAAACGGGCTTTTTGTACAGTTTTTCATGGTTTTTCTTTATGCTGGGAAGCGAGCAGGACTAACACCATAGTGTCTTATTTCCTGCAAGATGACAATTTTTGTTGACAAATGTTTGAAGAAAATGGGCTAAAAGATGAGAAAGATATTCAAGCTTTTATTTTAAGTTGTACAATTTTTTTCACAGTTTTTTTGCAGTTTTTGAATGAAGCCAATGTCGCAGGAAAACTACCAATCACTCGAAACATTTCTTTCCCGTGTAACTTTGCTTTGGTTTTTTCAAAAAGTTGTACCCACCTACAGTTTTATCGATTTTTCTGCCAAACCCAGGATGAGGCTGGACATTGAAAAGTTAGTCTTGAACTAATTTCGTAAATTTGCAACATGCGTGTACGATTTCACACAAATTGGTCACGAAATGTAGATGTGCATACACAGCATACACACACACACACACACAGATACTGACAGACACACACATACAGACATACAGATCTGTCCAGTCTTCTCTTTCCAACCTCGAAGGAGTTCGATGTAGTTTAATCGGACTTGTAGGCCATGATATATTTTCCTCACTTACAGACGCACCTTCGTACGCCTCTGACAATTCTATCGCTATTTCTATGGAAAATATTCTGATGAGTTATATCGATTAGTTCCACCAGTTAAGAACTTTACAGCTAAAATCAACCATACAATAAACACTGGGGTTAAACATCCACATTTCTTTTGTATTCCATTTGAAAGAAAGAAGTACCATTCAGACATCTTCTGAAGAGCCACTAGTTTATGCATGACACTCCAGAGTGGATACTTTCTCGAACACTACCCTCTCCAAGTCGGATATCACCCGTTATCTAGTCTACAGATCCTCATAATATACACCTACTTCCTACACCTATATCTATAAAACAACGCCATTCACTAACCCACTATCTTGAGTGTTTCTTTGGCTTTTTTATTGGGCGAAGATTTAGTACAAACGAATTAAATTGGAAATGCGCGGTTTACCGTTTCTATTTCAGACCCCACTCTTTAAACCAAGGGTTTGCATGACATAGCTCAAGTAAGTTTGGTCGATAGGTGTAAGGTCTCGATTGTGTAAGTTTTCTATTGGATTTTACTTGTCCTAGGCATGTTATCTCATGTCTTTGAAATATTATTCTGATCTGTACGCAGTGTAGGTTCACGCAAAAGCCTCGTGACATTTTAAAATGCTATGAGTTTGCCTAATGACAACAAGTTTCACTTGCCGCAGGGCATCACCGAGTAACCTTACTAGCAAAACTGAGACTATTTCTGCAAACGTCACGGAATTTTCACACGATAATTATTCTTGTCTTCTGTGGAAAAAATAGAACAATGGACGTGCCGTATTCACCGCCATGGCTTGAACGGTTCGTTAATTTTTACTCACTGACCCCGGAAACGAAGTCGCGAGAGATCGCTGCTTCACTGCTAATGGCCTTCAGCCGTAATCAAGTCTCAATTATTTATTATGCAATCGCCTCGATCTTTGCCCCACAAAGTTGATTGGAATGACGCAGTGACAGCTGAGTGTCATATTTACGAAGTTATACAGGCTTTAACAAATGGGCGTCTACTCTAGAGTGCTTTTTCACAAATTAGTCTTGGATACTATTGACCTAAATTCACAGCAACCATCCCACTTGCCAGAACTAGTCAAAGAATAATCTATCTAAAAGTTTACGCTTACACATGCCTGCCGACGTGGGCGTATATCTGCGCACTGTAAATATGCCTGAAACATGTTATATGGCTGTAAATTGATCAACAGATTCGTTTTTTACAGCCTATCAACTGTTTACAGATTATTTAAAACCAGAAAATATTTGTAGATTGTAAGAATTTCTTGTCAGGATATTGATGATTTAGTGATAGACGTCTTACTAATTAACCCATAACTGGGGGGAAGAGCTGGATTTCGACAAGGGTATTTGCACGTCATTGATTATAACGAACCAAAATGGAATTCGGACTCGGTTTTTCTCCGATTAAAAATTACGAGGTATTATCCATGATCTCTCCCGCACATACAAGCTTACAGCAGCTGGTATTCTGAGCCAGTCACCAATCTAGGTAATGTCCAGCATCGGCGTTGCTTAACTTCAGTAAACGTACGGGAACCGGGGTTCCAACGTGATATGGCCGTAAGCCCAATATGGCTGTTATAGACATTGTGGAACAATAATAATAATAATAATAATAATAAGAAGAAGAAGAAGAAGAAGAAAAGAAGAAGAAGAAAAAAAGAAAAATAATAAAAAAGAATAAGAACGAGAAAAAAAGAATAAAAAACAAGAAAATGGAGAAAAAAGAAGTAAAAGAAAAAGAAGTAGAAGAAGAAAAATAAGAAGAAAAGAAAAGGAAGAAGAAAAAGAAGACGAAAAAGAAGGAAAAGAAGAAGAAAATTTATAACTTAAATGCATTAATACTGAAAAAAACACACCCATGATCATTGGGAAAGATTAATTAACTGATTTGTTTTTTACGGCTTATTAATCTTTTACAGGTTATTTAAAGCCAGACATTTTTTGCATTGTAAGTATTTCATTTGAAGATAATAATGATTTAAAAAGTACTACTAATTAACCCATAGCTGGGGGAGAAGAGGTTGATTCCAACCTTCCAACGGTATTTGTGCACGAGTGAATAGAACGAGCCTGACTTGAATTTAAACACTCCGATATCCAATTCCGAACCAGTATCAAAATACTCCACCTACACAACAAGCTTACAGCACCTGGTATTCGGCAGCGGTCACCCATCTACGTACTGCCCAGGCTTGACATTGCTTAACATCATTCTTTATTTTGCATAGTTAAAGTATGAAAGATCCACATAATAATCAAAAACGTTAGCGGATTTTTATCGATTTCTCTTTTTTCTCGTTGGAACAACTATAATCTCTCCCACAGTGGATAAAGGCATTGGTTACATGCAGTGAGAGGACCCAAAGATTGTGAGTTCAATACCCGGTTAAGGCATTGGAGAACTTGGAGAGGGGAATTAACAGGAGATAACTGATAACTGACATCCATTAAACATGGCACATGGAACTAGAACAGTCTACCCCAGTGAGCGAAATAAAAGATTCAGTTCGGCATTCCAACCACCTGAAGAAGGCCGGAGCGTACAACGTCCGAAACGTTGTAATAAATATGATGACAAAGATGGGGACAATAGTCCGAATAATGTAAATAGTGTACATAATACCTCATCTCAGAAATATAGACAGATACTGAAAGGCCGAAACGTTGTAATAAATATGGCGAAAAAGATGAGGACAATATTCCGTATAATGTAAATAGTATATATATATATATATATATATATATATATATATATATATATAAGGTAACCCAAAAAGTTCTGTCCGTTTTTAAAGGAAAAAAAGAAAATGCTTCACAGTATGTGTAACTTATATTAATCTTCGAAGTAATCGCCATCGGCATCCAGTACCTTCTGCCAACGTGTCTCCCACGAAGATGATTATCCAGGGAGTGGAAGATGTGGTAATCGGATAGTGCATGGTCAGGTGAATAAAGTGGATGGCACAAAGTCTCCCACCCAATTTGTGAACCACTTGACGACCTGTCCACCAGACACAAAGAATAATCTTGCATGGGTGCATAGGCGGTCTTGCGGTGTGAGGGACAGCATCCTGAGGAGACAACCAATATCTGGAACGCTTGGGAGTTTTGTACAGAACCCACTTTTCATCACTGGTTAGCACTCGATTGAATAAGGATGCGGTACGGTGGCGAGAAATTAGCGATACGCAGGCTGCCACTCGTTGTCCCTTGTGGACCTCCAACAGCGTTTGCGGAACCTACTTGCTCAGTTTGTACGTCTTACCTAGGCGGTGCAGATGAAGTTTAACTGTTTCATCGGAAACGTTGAACTGTCTTGCAAGTTCACCACACGTTAGACTACTGTCCTCTTCAATGGCCGCCTTCAGGACTCCGTCATTCAAGACCTGTGGTCGTCCATTGCGAGGCTCACCATGGAGAGACAAATCTTCCGACTTGAATTTTCGAAACCAACGCCTTGTAGTACGTTCATCCACATCACTATCCCCAAACGCTTGACATATGTGGCAACTTGATGCAGCTGCTGATAAGCCCACTTTGAAGTCGTAAAGCAAACATCCCCAAACGAGATCTCTAGACACTTCCAACCTTCTCACAGCTGTCCGGCTTATAACTGATGGTCGGGCACGGTGCGCGTGTTTTTTATAACGTCTGATGTTCCTACTTCCGGCTGTCCAAATTTGAAAACAATTGCTACACGCATTTCGTATATATTTCAACTTCATTCAATGACTAATCAAAAAACGGACATAACTTTTTGGTTACCCTATATATATATATATATATATATATATATATATATATATATATATATATATATAAAATATGAAATGTGACAATGTGAGACTTTTTCAGCTTTACTCCTAATAGCCGTAGCCCAACATACCATATCATTTTGTAATCAGGTCGACTCTGTGAGCAAATTAAATCATTCCAGGCAGGATTCGGACTGTGTAATGTTGGATTCCCAATTTTTCATTACTACGATTGTTTTCGGCGATTTTTATACGTGATTTTTGTAGCGACGAATTTTTGGGCACGATAATGTTTTATATCTTGGAAATAAATTTGGAAATAATTAAAATTAATTAAGAAATCCAGCGAAAGTCACCCAAGACATAAAACTAAAAGTAAGGAACTACATACATGAAATTGTTTTTTTTTTAATTAAGTGGCCGCAGGAGAATTATCGTTGAACATTTAAAAGCTATAGTAATCTAATGAAGAGTTTGATAATCCGTGTGGATAATTCCAAAGAGGATGTAATCCAGAGATCTCAATGTAAAACCAGAGCAAATGTTAATTAAATAATTAAGAAAGATATAAACTTAATGTTCCATGACTATAATTTATTTCTCAGAAAATATATCTTTCTTGGTTCATCAGGTCACATCTATTAGTCACAAAACTTTGTTACAAAGCTTTTCTAGGGAATTAAATTATAGACATGGAACCTTACGGTTATCTCTTTCTTAATTATTTAATTAATATATATATATATATATATATATATATATATATATATATATATATAGATAGATAGATAGATAGATAGATATATTTAGGCAGTAATTTTTCATTGATGCATATTTCATTAAATAATATAGACAAGTTTTGTCTATTTATTTTAAGTAATTTCTTTTCATATTGTCTGATATCACATTATCGTTGAAAGACGAAAGCAAATCACCATATTGATATATGTTTAAATCCAATCTAAGCTTTCAGCTTACATGAGCCATTATCAAAGATGACAGTTACTTTTCAATATATCAACCAATACACGGAACAATAATTATAGTGTTGTAGAGTAGTTTCACAGTGGAGGCTTGTATTTCACTAAGTCGGTCCTAAAATAGGTTCGACGTACAAAACGTTAGGAACTTGATATAAGAGTTAATGACGCAGCAATCTAGTTGTGGTAGCTGATACTTTAATATCCGACTAACGGACATCGACTGACTGACCAACTCCGCGAGCGACTGGCGACTGCTACTACTCCTACTTATTATAGGTGGGAGAGTCTATTAACTATAGTGTGTGATCCAGTATAACAGATAGTCTGTTTTTGTTCTTTCGTCCTTCAATGATAATGTCATTAAGTTTAAACAGACAACATGAAAGGAAATTACTTTAAATAAATAGACAAAACTTGTGTATATTATTTAATGAATCATGCATCAATATATATATATATATATATATATATATATATATATATATATATATATATATATTGCCACTAGTATTCTAGGTTACCTGTCTACTAGCCAATCACTATTGCAGACGCTTACTCAGGTGTATTTGTGTTTATTCAACATCCTCAGGGCCAACCTGTAATTTATACTGGAACTATGGTGAGCAGACCTTAGTTACAGTTTCTGGGTGGAAAGGACGTGTTATCTAGCGTGATCAACAATTTGAACAAGCCCAGCACGCTCAAACTCTCGGCCACGATGACTTGAGACTTCGTGTTAGCAAAACTATCGACAGCGTCCAAGGGTTCCGTGTATCCAATTTCCCCCACAAGGTATGGGTCAAACCGTATAATGATTTTCATGCACTTTCCAAGCAAACCTATATTGGCATTGTCAATTCAGTAGAGTGAAGGAATAAAATCTAGTTTGATTCCGTGAAGATTTAGAAATATTTTCATAATAAAAATCTTAGGCGGATTTATGAAGCAGGCATAATATCCATCTCACGCACGGTGAATAGTAGACCTGGCTTCTTTAATATTTCCCCTTTTCTAGCGAGATTAATGCTCGACAAGCGTACATATAAATTTTAGTTCAAAATAGAATTCTTTTCATTTTTCATTCAAAATACTCAAATTTTAGGAATACGTTTTCACAGCGTCGCCCATGTGACGACAACGTGACCATGTTTTAAATGGAGCGCTTATATTATAAAACTTTCAGTTATTTGTTTGGATAAGTCTTGTTCTTATGTACATCGTCTTTGTCATGTTGAATTGATATTGTTATAATTTATGAATATGTCCTGAAGATGGTTTATTAGACCGAAACGTCCGACGTAGACATATTAACATTAAAACAGCATAATTGCATATAAGGATTTTTGTTTGTTTTTTCCGTATATATTTTTCTTCATATATATATATATAGATAGATAGATAGATAGATATCATCATGATGATCATGACTTGGCTTCGCAAAACGAAGACCAAGAGGGATCTGTAAACAGCACTTGCAGGTACGTTTGTAACTGATAAGTCTAATGTGTAACAGGTGTGTATATATATATATATATATATATATATATATATATATATATATATATATATATATATATATATATATATATATAGATAGATAGATAGATAGATAGATTTAAGTAACGATCTTATATATATATATATATAAGTAAAAGTTTGTCATTTTTTTGTTTTTTGGAGGGTTTGAATCATTTCACTCAAAGCAAGGCGATAATCCCACTAAGATGCAAGTGAAAGAATCGCATAAATATGGACAATAAAAGATGAAGAATTGGGATAAAAAAGACGATATTGATAGGCTTTGAATTTTCATTTTTAAAGATTGTAGGTAACAGAGATGCTAAAAACCGGAAGCGAGTTCCACAGACGAAAAAAAAGTGCGAGAAAAGAAACGATTAGATCATAACTTACGGTTGCATCTTGCTTTTACAACAGTAAAACGATGAGACCTAATTGCCAATCTAGTAGTACGTTTAAATTCATGAGGTCGAGATACGAAGGTGGGAAGATCATTAGAACAAATGCCATGTACCTATTCATAAAAAAAAGAACGAAGCCACGCCAGAATTTATACTGCATTTCAAATTATTAACGAGGTGACATTTTTTTTTTATTTTATCCAAAAATTACCAGTCGGAATTTAACGAAATTTTCACAGTATAATTGAAACAGGTTATCTGCGCAGGCTATATAAAAACTGTATTATTCTGCGCAGCAGGAAATAAACGGCGGCCATTTGCATTATTAACACGATATAGAAGTGTTCCAGACTATAAATGATTGTCATTATAATCGTGCAATTATGGGTTGCAAATGTGGCTTGACACCTTCTGAGAAAAGATATTATAACATCTGAACTTTCCAAAGGCAAATCTTCATTAGAAATATCCAAAATAATTGCAAGACATTACCAAACTGTGAAAAGATTTGTTGCATCTCCTATAAAGATAAGTAAGAGGGCCAATAAGAATCAATCGAGGGTTATTTCCCGACGTTCTTTGTCACGAATGATACGTGAAGCTGTAAATAACCCAGAATTTTCAGGGGTATTGGAGAAGCAACAGTGCCCAGAAGTACTCCCTATCGTCTTTTGAAAAAGGTCGGCACATCAGTGAGACCAGTGACAAAGACTCGATTGATAAAAGTACACATACAAATGCGTTTGAAATGGGCATACGAGAACATGAAGGTCGATTTCTCGAAAGTTATATTCACAGATGAAAGTCGTGCAATACTTGATGGCCCTGGTGGTTGGAACAAAGGTTGTTTCGTAAATGGATGAGATCATCAACAACGCTTGACACGCCAAAAAGGAGATATGATTTGTGCTGGTATTATTGGAGGTATCATGGTTTGTGCGTGGAGAGTGCCTGGCAGTATGAAAATAACTGCAGATACTTATATAGCCTTCCTCAAAGAGCACCTGGAATCTAGCCTGAAAAAAAAAAAACAAAATCAAGGAATCACATTCAGGAGAACGATTGAATTCATATCTCCCATCTTTTTATCTGTCAATCTGTCTCTCCCTTTCGCCTTCAACCTTTTATTATATCCTTCATCTTTTCATCTCCCTAATTCCATCTCACTCCCCCTCTCTCTCTCTATCTATCTATCTATCCCCTCTTTTTATGTGTCATTCTATCTCTCCCTTTCGCCTTCAAACTTTTCTTATGGCCTTCATCTCTTCATCTTCTTACAGCTTTGTCTCTTTCTCCCTAATCCCAGCTCACTCTTCCTCTTTCTCTGCACCCCCGTTTATCTGTCACTCTCTGTCTACCAGTCTCTTACTCTCTCTTTCTCGCTATCTATCTATCTATCTATTCCCTCTTTTTATATGTCATTCTGTCTCTCCCTTTCGCCTTCAGACTTTTATTATATGCTTCATCCCTTCATCTCCCTAATTCCATCTCACTCCTCTCTCTCTCTCTCTCTCTCTATCTATCTATCTATCACCTCTTTTTATGTGTCATTCTATCTCTCCCTTTCGCCTTCAAACTTTTCTTATGGCCTTCATCCCTTCATCTCCCTAATTCCATCTCACTCCTCTCTCTCTCTCTCTCTCTATCTATCTATCTCAGTCTATTCATATCTATCTATCTATCTATCTATCTATCTATCTATCCCAGTCTATTCATATCTATCTATCTATCTATCTATCTATCTATCTATCTATCTATCTCATTCTGTTCATATCTATCTATCTATCTATCTATCTATCTATCTATCTATCTATCTATCTCATTCTGTTCATATCTATCTATCTATCTATCTATCTATCTATCTCATTCTGTTCATATCTATCTATCTATCTATCTATCTATCTATCTATCTATCTCATTCTGTTCATATCTATCTATCTATCTATCTATCTATCTATCTATCCATCTCATTCTGTTCATATCCATTCATCTATCTATCTATCTATCCATCTATCTATCTATCCTAGTCTATTCATATCCATCTATCTATCCATCCATCTATCATCTATCTATCTATCTATCTATTCTGTTCATATCTATCCATCTATCTATCTATCTATCTATCTATCTATCTATCTATCTATCTATCTATCTATCTATCTATCTATCTAAGCCTGTTCTATTATCTATCTATCTATCTATCTATCTATCTATCTATCTATCTATCTATCTATCTATCTAAGCCTGTTCATTATCTATCTATCTATCTATCTATCTATCTAAGCCTGTTCATTATCTATCTATCTATCTATCTATCTATCTATCTATCTATCTATCTATCTAAGCCTGTTCATTATCTATCTATCTATCTATCTATCTATCTCCTCCTTTTATCGGCCAATCTGTCTCTCTATTTCGGTTTCAGACTTTTATTATGCCCTTCATCTCTTCATCTCCCTACATCTTTGTCTCTTTCTTCCTAATTCCATTTCACTCTCTCTCTCTCTCTCCCGCTATCTATCTATCTATCTATCTCATCTTTTTATCTGTCATTCTATCTCTCCCTTTCGCCTTCAAACTTTTATTATGTCCTTCATTTCTTCATCTTCCTACAGCTTTGTCTCTTTCTCCCTAATCCCAGCAAGCTCCCCCTCCTCTTTCTCTGTCCACCCCCCGTTTATCTGACTCTGTGTCTACCACTCTTTCTCTCTCTTTCTCGCTTAAAGACTCCTTACGTCATCGATTTCTTTATCCAACTGCATGTCTCTTTCTCTCTTACACCCACTTCCTTTCCTCTCTCTCTCTCCCTCTCTCTCTCTTCCCTTTGTCTTTCTCTTTCACCTTCACACCCTTTCTCTCTCATACGTATTCTTTCTTTTTATCTATATGTCTCTCTGTCGCCTTCTGCCTAAATCCTTCTTCCTCCCTCTCTCCTCCTTTTATCTGACTCTCACACATACTCCTTCTTTCTTTTCACACCCCTCCTTTTATTTCCTTTTTTATCTATTGTTTTCTCTCTGTTTTCCAACTTCTTCCTCTGGGTCTACACCATTATTTTAAAAGTCCGATACAATATCTTTGGCAGCTAAATATTATCAATCTCACTACGGTATCATCTCAAACGCAGAATATTGCTAAACATAGCTTTATAGCAAATGCCTTCATAAATCTGCATAGTTTGTCAAAAGGCAATATCGAGCAAACCATCTTCTGTTAGAATAATCGGCTATGTTAGTTTGCTGGACGTTTTATCACGCAGGAGCTTTCTACTCTCCTTTGCCTCAAAAATAGCAGCATATTTTAGGAGTATATTATTTAACGTCGGTTTTAAATGTGATCACATTCTTATAGGGTCAGTCTCAAATCTGTATTTCAGTGCCATTTGGCTTTACTACATGAGCCGTGACGCCAGCCCTCATCTCTACAAAGCAAAGGCGTTCGATTTCAAGATTCTAATTTTAAAAGAAGAGAAATCTGATCTTAATTTGATCTCCTCACACAGGTTTCTGCCAACAATTTCCATTTTCCTTTTAACTAGATTTGAAACGAAGCCAAGAGGCAAGTTTAAAATAACTTGTAATTGTCGGGTGAACGGATATATTCAGGTAAAAGTGGTTGGCCAACATTCTCGTTTAACCAGTCATATATAACCCGTGGCAAACCCTATCAGAAATATTGGCACGTACAAATCAACTCCCCTAAAAGAAAAGAAAAAGTAATCAGTATATAAAAGAAGATATATATTGAGCCCTCCTCATGTGCTCACATAATAAACATCTTCTGACCCCGCAAGCCCTCTCCTTTCTTTTCAAAAACGTTACGATTTCTCAGCATTTTCATTTACGTTTCAAGATATTGTATTCGGTTTGGAAGGAAATGTCGTAGCATTTTTCAGTGCTCATGGTAATGCTAACTGTTTCCTTATAAGGAAACATTTGACCTTTATTGAGTGAGCAGCCATTGCTATCCCAATTGCGATTCTTTTCAGTTCCTAGCCATCGGGCCAGGATCAAAGTGCTGTATCTGTTTTCCTCATTTTTAATGGTAATTGTAATATTAACGACACTGCTCTCGATTGAACTTCATAAAATCTTTCTCTTAAAACAAATTTCCAAAAAAATAAGATTTTTCTTTTTAAATGCAGTAGCTATCATCACTTTTCATTGTCCTGATCTTCGATACACAGATATATAATGTCAATGGTGATATCAGCCGTTTACTAAAAGAAAACATTTGGCATCGATTAACCGAGCAGACAATACTTCTTCCCGTTAAAATTTATAAAATCTTTCTCTTAAAACAAATTTTCAGGAAAACAGGTTTTTCAAGTCCAGTAGTTGTTATCGATCTTTCCAGTATTGATGAGGTGTTTCCTTCCTAACCTTTTGTTTGAAGTAGTGGGGAATGACAGTATCTTGATGATGTCAGTATTTTCTCTTCTAATTACATGTGCTAACCGTTTTAGTTGTTACTGCTGTTGAAAGTCATCAAGTGATGTGGTTTCTGTTATTTGGTACAATATTTTGTTTATGATTCTGTAACGCCAAACTAATAGAAACCATTCAAAGAAAGAAAAAGAACTTTCTTTTATTGTTAGATTGTCAATCAACATCACCAATTTAAAGATTGGAGCTGACTGACTCAACATTTAACCTTATCAACTTAAAATTGTCATAGGGCTTAGAACATTATCTCAAAACAAAATATTATTGTAAAATAAAAAATAATGTTATTTATATTACAACAAGCAGATCATTGTTTAGTTCACCTGTAAATAATGGTGATGATAATATTTGCCATTTCCTAATAAGGAAACATTCAGAATTGACTGAACAGCCAGTGCTACTCAAGTTACGTTTTCCTTCACTCCCTAGCCATGGACCTAGAATCAAAGTGTAGCATCTGTTCTCTTCATATCTAATAGCAATATTAGTGGTTTCCTTTGAGCAGCCAGTATTACTGTCAGTTGAAATTTATAAAATCGTTCTCTTAAATAATTTTTCACAAAAATAGGTTTCTCAAATCCAGTAGTTATCGATCTTTCCAGTATTGATGAGGAGTTTCCTTCCTAAATTTTTGTTTGAAGTAGTGGGGAATGATAATATGATGATGTCAGTATTTTCTCTTCTAATTACATGTGCTAACCGTTTTAGTCATCAAGTGATGTGGTTTCTGTTATTTGGTAAAGCTCTTTGTGATGATAACTCCTCTTCCCAGAAATTCAGGTAGAAAAAAATACTGTATAAAAAGTAAAATCAAAAGTGAGTAAATATTTTTTCTAAGGATAAAATAAAAATATCAGTATTCTATATGCCGTGTCCCATCAAGAAATTGATAAATATGGCTCTCCGAAACTTCCTATCTCTTGTAGCCCTTTTCTTTGTAAAATGAAAAAAGTATTTATATTACTACTAGCATATCAATTTTTAGTCCACAAGTAATAATGGTAAGAATAGCCGTTTCCATATAAGGAAACATTTGCCATTGATTGACAAAATACTACTTTCAGTTAAAATGTGTAAAATCTTTCTCTTAAAACAAATTTTCAGTAAAATTGATTTTTCAAATCCATTGCTGTTATTTTTTCTTCTACTTACACGTAATCTCCATTTTAGATATTTGTTTGTGATCATGTAGCGCCAGTACACAAGGTAGAAGAAGGATATATATATATATATATATATATATATATATATATATATATATATATATATATATATACTAAAAAGTACACCCCTACTCATGATCTAAGAAGAGTATTATCAATGTCAAAAAATATAAAATGTTACGGCTGGGTCACGTTGAAATATCGGTTCCTGTAGTATCAGCGAAGTTAAGCAACGTCGAGTACCTAAATGGATGTAAATTTGCATGCACAGTAAGTGTAATGGATAATGGCTCAGAATTGTTAATCGGAGTTCCAATTCCTGTCGGGTTCGTTATATTCGCTTACGTGTACAAGCAATACTCAAAACATAATATCAGCCTTAAACACTTTGGCTGTCCCTGTGGTGGAATACAGTTTCAAAATCCTTAACTGGATCATAACTGACATTAAGCGAATTGATGTCAAAACGAGGAAGATTTTGATTTACCACCGCATGCATCATCCTACCGATGATGTTGATCGTCTGTATGTGTCCAGATCCGAAGGAGGTAGAGGATTAGTTCAACTAGAATTGTCTTACAAAACTGCAAAAATTGGTGTTCAAAAATACTTGAAAATTATAGAAGACTGGATGATGATCTTTGTCAAAGAATATGAAAGAAATAAGAAGTAATAAAGGAAGTCACGAAATTCAAAAGCGAATTTTAATTCGGTGAAGGAGTGCATATAAACTATAACGCACCTGCAGCAGCGACAAAGAACGTAAAAATGAAAGCAAAAGTAAATGTAATGTATTAAATGCAGAAACGATGGCAAGATAAGCCGCTCCATGATCAATACTCTGCTCGCATCGAAGAAGCTGAAATAGATAAACCCTGTAGCCATCAGTGGTTTCTTAATACTGTGTTTTTAATTTGGAGTGGTCCTTCCGAGAGCCCAGTCTATGTTGATGTGTACCTAATAGATGGAGGTGGGCATTCAAAAGTTTAAAGTAGAATTCTCTTAACAACATTGTGTCAGTAACCAAAAACAGTCCAGCCCCTTGTAGTGCTTTTGAAGAAAAGTTTTAAAAACCTACATAAATTAAGATTTGCTTTTGCTAACAAATTGGATTCAAATTATAGCGGGTTACCAGGGATGTATGTTTTTTTTCCCCTACCAAGTCCTCTAACTATTATCCAACTATTGTACCAACCGTAGTTGTAAAACGTCAAACGTTTTTTCAATTCCAACTTGGATCTCCTTTTATTAATGTATTTCATCATTTTCTTTAACAGATATGTTTTTTTTTCCCCGATGGCATTACCATATCCCGCTTTTAATCACATTTTCTAGCCAACTAACTTTTATATGTTTGTGAATATGATATGAGGTCTGTTATTATCTTATTATGGCTGTGCTCGTTCCTCCCTTCCTTAGTTCGCACGACCGTTACGCCCTGCCAACACCTCATAAATAATGGACTATTCCGTTTTGATCGCGTGGAACGGGGGTAAAAGACAATATTTGGTTTCGTGAGTAAATGAAAGAAATACAGAAAGTAGGGGACATAGAAGTGGCGAGAGGGAATCAGATTAAGCCGAGAAGAACATATGCTCCACGTAGATTATAACCAGAAGGCCGTTCAAAGTTGTCAGGCTGCGATACCAGAACAGATTAATGTGGATAGCTCAGTTGCACTGTCATCGGCATCCTCCCCCTCTTTAATATCATTATGGAGGTACTTCTTCTCTAAGCCTGGTCACTAAGCAAGGTCATAAAATCCCCTATATATTAGAGACATTATTAGAACATAATATATTAATTAATCCGTTTCAGACAAAATAAAATCTTATTTTTATTGACAATGTTAGTAAGCTACGATATCATTACTGAACAGACGGCAAATGAAAATAAAATTTAATTAAATTAAAATTTACGGGGAAAAAAGTAAAATTATACTGTATTTAAGAGAGATATATCTTTATTTATATGCTATGTTTCAGCTCTTAAGCATACGCAGTTATAAATTCATTACAAATGTTATACACTTCAAGTAACACACGTTTGAATAAAGGCGAGCATTTTTGTTTAATACTACTTCCGCGCGCCATGTATAAATAAAAGAGCAATATCTTGAGTAGAAGATTGAGTTGAAATAGTAAGAGGTGCCATTAAGAAACTTTCACGTGTCAGTCTATTTTTCTATGTGGCACGAAAATTCTCTTCATAAAAAGAAAGTGAACTAAAAAAATGTAAAAGTTCCATCAACAATTATTGATTATAAAAACGTTGTATTTTCACTTGATCAGATTTCTTTTTTACTTTCCATTTTCTTTATCAGCGATAGATTTACAAGGTAACCTTTTTTCCCCTCGATATTTAACTGACTTTATCACCCCCGCAAATAAAAAGGAACACGTTAGTATGATCACTGCCTGTCCTTGAACTTAAATAATGTCATGTTTCAAAG